AATCTCATTCATCTATTATTACTTTTTTTTATAACCATGGATATCCGGACCAACTGCGCGCACCTCGACTAATCCTACAGGGCCTTAAAGTTTACGGACGGGTACTCACTTCAGTGGCCATGAGGGGACTCGAACTGGTAACCACTGTAGAGCAAACATAATGCCTCACCAATTGAGGAGTGAATTGCCCAAATAGTCACTGAACTTTACGCCATGCTTCCAGAGGTCACTGAACTTTCAAAATCACCAAAGTCATCACTAAACTTTACAAAAGTTTTCCACGAGGTCACTGAACTTTAAAAATCACATAATTCATTACTGAACTTTGTAAAAGGTTTTTCAAGGGTCACTAATTCAGTGATCTCTTAGGAAATATTTTGCAAAGTTTAGTGATCATGTAGAAACCTTTTGCAAAGTTCAGTGATGAATGAGGTGATTTTTAAAGTTCAGTGACCTTGTGAAAACTTTTTGTAAATTTCAGTGATGATTTGGGTGATTTTGAAAGTTCAATGACCCCCTGGAAGCATGATATAAAGTTCAATGACTATTTGGGCAATTTACTCCCAATTGAGCAACCCCTCAAGGGTATATTATTACTTTTTTATCAGAGACGTTTTTGTTCTAATCTTGGTATGAGCCATGAAGAAATCAAAGCTGCCCAAGAAACTGTTAAGAAGTCAGGGGACTTTGATATAAGGTACTGTGATATATTATCTGTCATCTCACGTTGGTTTGATTGAAACTTCGTTTTTCATAACATTCTATCATGTAATAGTGCTTACACATTGCCTCGTTGTTTGGCACGCATTAATTAATGAAATATAAATTTCTTAATTTCTGTGCTTGAAAATTTTTGACATAGGTGTTTATGTTGAAAATTTCTAGCATGGTAAAAATGATTGAATCTGGAAGGTTGTATATTGTAAAAATAAAGTGAGTTAATGAGGCTGAAAATGTATATCGGAGAGGCCATATTGATCTGGGTGTGTGGTCGTTTGTCTTAGAAAAAGGATGAAGTGTCCAGTATACTCAAAGTAAAGGAAGAATAAAAGTTTTGCGTACGTTGTTCTAGAATCAGGCTTTATTTTTTTGCACTATGTTAGTTCTCTGACAAATTGTCACTGGAATATATAGTATTTGCATAAATGGCAACTGGGAAAGGTTGAAGAACTAGGTAGGGGAGATTGAAAGATGCAAGTATGTTCGTCTAAGCGTAGAAGTTACTTTAGCAACCCTTTTTTCTTTGAGGTGGGGGAGTAGAGGGGAGGGAGATACCAATCATTGAGCCCTTGATCTCATTTGGGGATGTTACAATTTGGGTTTGACCCCCTCAGGCACTAGGTTTCGAGTTAATATTTCAAAACATGCTTTCAAAGTCTCTTTCTCCATTTCGAACTCTTCTTCAAGTCTAATATCAATTTCCAACTCCC